GGAAGCAACTTTACAACTTCATAATTATAATTGCAACTTTAAAACACATAGAAATTTTCCAGGCAGAAAAAAAGTGAGAAAGACTACTCCAGGTCACAGGAACATCATGTACAAAAGTACAGAGTCTTGAAAAAGCAGACGGGTTTGAAGATTAGCAAAGCATTAAGTATACATAGAATTTAGGCTGGTTAGGAGTTGGGTGATGAGAGATGAAGTTGCAGCTGAGGATCCTTGTATGAGGCCTAGAGGAGCCGATGAACTGAGATATTATTCTGAGGAGATCAAGAAATGAGTGGGAGTTTTTAAGCATGGGTGAACTGTAATTGGATATTTTATTTGAGGGTGACCATCTCATGACAGTGAGGAGATTAGAATAAGGAAAAATAATTTGATTATAGAAAGACCACTTAGGAAACAGTTGAAATGATTCAAGTCTAAAATGATAAAGGCCTGGCTATGATGGGCCTGGCTATGAAGGGCTGGACTGGAAAGATGTTTTTGCAATAGAGTTCATAGGACCTGCTAAGTCAGTGGATAGAAAATGTAGAGGGGATGAAAATAAAGCAAGTCTGCACTTTGCCTAAGTTGGGAGCCCAATGGGAGCAGTGACCTAGAGTAGGAGAAAAGGCAGGTTCCATCTGCAAAGGACAGGGCTCTGAACTTGAGCCTTGTCTGTTCTACCCATTGCTCTGCAATCCTGAGTGAGATACTTCACTTTTCTGAAACACAGTTACACCATCTATAAAATGGAAAAATAATATCTACCTCATGGGATTGTTTTGAGATTAAATCGAAGTAAAAGATAAAACTGTCCAGCTTACTGCCTGGCCCATAGAAGCTGTTTGATAAATGTATTTTGAATAAAGCAAACAGAGAAATAGAATGAATAGCAGAGACTGGGGTTTAAATCTAGTTGGTTATATAATGTTGAGTGTGTTACCTAAATTCCTTGACATTCTGTTTCTTCATTTGTGAAATAGTGAAAATTTGAGCTGCCTCATTGGGTTGTTGGGAAGATTAAACCTGAAACCGTATGCAGAACCTGATGTACACTGACAGATCATAGGTACTCAATCAATGTGTATCGAACAAAAGTATGAACTAATTCAAATGAGCTTAGTAATCTTGTTTAAAGAAGCAGAAAAATATAGACCCTTTTAGTAAATATTACATACACTTGCATACACTCACTCATAAAAGAGGATGTTACATCTCTTTAAATGGTAAGTTTCCATTATTTGTAAAGTCAAGTTACTTTAGAAAAGGGTATTCTTCAATACTGTAAAAAAAAAAAAAAAGGCAAGCTTCACTAATCTAATTGTATTGCATGAAAAACAAAGTCAAGTACACAACGAAATCTTCCTGCACAGTATAGGTGATCTGCATAACTTTTACCCCAAAGAAGTGGTAAACAGACTGAAAAAACTTGAGAACCATGATTTTTAAAGAACCCAAGTGCTACCAGCATTGACTGTCTAATTGTGTGTCTTTAATTTGTTGCTGATACTATTCCTGCTTGAATAAATGCATTGTATTTTGTATATTGTGGCTACTGTAGATACTGCCAGCTGCACCACACTCCTGTCTACGCTACTCTCTTTTAGTAATCGAGTCAATCTGTATCCACTCTCCATCATTCCCCCCACCTCCCCACTTTTAGGAACATGGCCTCCCAGCTACAGACTACATTTACCAGCATCCCTTGAAGCTAAGGATGTTCATGTGATGAGATTCTGGGCAATGAAGGAGGAGTGGAATTTATATGTCACTTCCTTGAAGACACCTGCTCTGAACTCTTTCTCCAGCAGCGCTGAGGAGTGCGACATTCGGCAAATGGCAATGCGGCAGTAAGGAAGGAATCTGTGCCCTTTAATGACCTAGAAGAGTAGATCTACTTCGCCACCTGGACCAGCCAGACTAATGTGAGAAATACACTTCTGTCCATGTAAGCCAATACATTTGGGGGTTTCTTTGTAATAGCATCTCAACCTCTATTCATGGAATGCAAGGTTTTGTCTTATTTTTCAAGAAAAAAAAAAAAAGTCATTTCAATGGTAAACTTTGCCTTTAGGACTTCTAGGACAGATGGATTTTTAAATGACACAGTCTGATGTGTCAGGCTGAAGTTCCCAAATACCCATTATCACACCAAGGTTATTACCAAGGGCCTTTCTATCATCTTTTATTTGATAATGGTATTTTGATTTTGAATGGGGAGATCTTATGTGCCAACTGGGTTGATTTTCATTATGATTGTTTTTTGTAATGAAGTAGCAGTTTTTCAATTTCTTTTACTAACCTTGCCAGTGAATGCTTGTTGAATGATACAAAGACTGTTCAAGTTGCCTTATCTCTGTTATTAGACTGGACCATAAATTAGATTTTTAAAAATGGAAGGTCTCAGAAGAGAATGTCTAAAAAGTAAGAAATGGTTCATCAATTTTTAATTTTGAAATAACAGTATCAATTTTGTGTACCATATTTACCAATTTTCATCTGAAAATTTGTTTTGACTAACAGGCAGAACTGGAAATAGAATTTTATTATATTGTTTTGCCACTCTTGGCAATTGGGAGAAAATAGGATTCAAGTTTCTAGTTCTACATACCTTTTGTAATAGGGTACCTTGCATCAGTACTTTTATTGCTAGTGTAAGAGGAGCTATGAGATTGTTTAGATGTCAAAAATAAGGTCAATAAAAAGATATGTAACATAAAAGAATGAGAACACCAGATGATGGTGGAGTATAACATAATATAGACAGAACATATCGAAGTTACCATACATGGCCACTTACACAACTTATCTGAATCACAGATAGGACTGTCCTGGATCAACTGGCCTGGAAAATAACTACACTGCTAATATTTCAGTCACTACAATTCTCAGATTCAGAGAAGCCAAATCAGTTTCTTCCCCTGGCTTTCCCAGTAACCACTGACAGCTGCTGTGGTGGAAAGAACTCCTGGCTATGACTCAGGAAACTTTATTGCTAGTCCTGGCTTTACCACTTACTAAGCATGAATTTGGACAGGTCATGTAACCTCTGTGTAGAGTGATTATGAACTTCAGAATAAGATAATCTATGGGAAGTATTTTGGAAAATAATAAGATAATCTATGGGAAGTATTTAGGAACTAAAAAGTTTTATGCAAATATATGTGTGTGTGTGCGTGCGCAAAATAACTCACATTGTAAATTCAAAGCCAACTATAAATTTATATTTGCTTATATATGAAAATATAGACATATGATATATATATACACATATGAGCACAAATATACATATATATACATATATATACATGACCACACATGTGTGTGTAAAAACACATTACCTAAATTAAAAACTTTTACTCCTTAGGATGCCCTGGCTGCTTCTAAAATGACTCGAGGCAGCAGTTTATAGATTAACATGCTATGCAAAAGCACAATGAGAAGCTCTAAAACAAAACAGAGTCTATGTAGATGACATTTAAGGAGTAAGTACTTTTTAGTGGAGTCCTCCTGCTCTTTTTTGATGGCTAAAAACCAAGCATAAAGGGACTTCTACAGTGATAAAATAACAGTTAACTAATAACATATTTGTCTCCTGTGAATTTTCACCTTCCCCTTCCCAAATAAAAGCTAGAATCATAACAGTGACCCCTATGGTTTCACCCATATCCCATTCCCCTGTCTCTTGTTCCCCGGGTAATAAAGTTAATAGTCCAGTTCCACTAGAGTATTCAGGAAGTATGATCTGGGTGGTAAGTTCCCGTAGTGGAATAAAAGGCACACATTACACTTGCACCCTAAAGTCAGTAGGATTGTTACAAGCAACATTTTATTGACTTTTTTTCTCAGTGATCATTAATCAAGAGATTAAGGAACAAGATGACAGTAATGAGAATAACCTGTCTTTCCTTTACTGAGGTCCCAATAATTTTCCCTCCTAAAAATAATTTTAAGCTAGTTACATTTTTAAAATACATGTAAGTAAATTAGGAATTAACTTCTTGGTGGGGTGGAGAGTAATACATATACCTTTGATTCATTGGCTCAGACAACAGCATTCTATTCTGAAAACATCTCTCAGTTTCCTTTGCTCTTCATTTTAAAACAAACAAATGGAAAGCATTGCATTTTATGGCCTTAATTCTCAACTTGAACACCAAATATATTAGACTATAGTTTTACTGGACAGTTTAGTATTGATAAAGTATATTAATACTAAGATAACTCTGTATTTCAAATTAAAACTTGCAATCACTATATTTACATTTGCACTAGCAAAGAATGGCATTTAAGAGATTTGCCTCTCCCCTATCTCTTTCTAAAATGATAATGTAAAATGTGTTAACAATCTCTGCACAGATAGCTTGGAAATAAAGAACAAGAGCTGATCACTGAATACCATTCGATACATTGTTCTAATGCTGTGGTTGTCCTCATCACTCAACCACAGCATCACTCCAGCAGCCCATGCGTCTCCAGGCATTAGAAAATGCTCACAAGTGAGACAGGTCTTTCAGAAGCTGAAATTTATTCTTCTCCAGACCAACATTTCTGTTTTCTAAGCTTTACAAGAAAATGGTTTCTAGAGAAGACTGTATTTAATATTTGCCACCTTAGAACCATAATGTGCCTTTCTTCCAAGGGAAACCTCCAAAAGCAGTCTCTTGTTTAGTATTAGATAGTATACTCGCTAAATAGGCTGCGAAGAATGCCAGCCCTGTTTTACAAATGGAGGCCTAAGTGTCATGAGTCCCAGCCTCTCCCCATGCAGAAAGAGCAAGAGGAAGCAGTGGACTTGCCCTCAAAGCCACACATTCCACTCATTTCTTAAATGTGCATTTGTGAGCTCACACATCAATAGCAGTCTTGTTAAGCATGTGGAAACAAATAGAATACACTGTGAACACTGGTGGTTGTGATAAGAATTTAACCTGTTTCATAAAGCAACTGCAATGGGACAAATTGTATGCAAGTAAAAACCATCTCATTGACGCCAGACTCACCTGACCCCTCTTGTCCTCTTGGAGTTGTAAATACCTTCCCAGATTGATGGAAATCTGCTAGAACAGACTGTAGAGACAGAAGCCCCAAACTCTTAGTCTTTATATGCCCCTGTTCCTCTGTTCACACATCTCTTTTCACTCTGATTGGTTTGTGGCTCTCTCTCACTGCTCCTTGCCTTTGAAATCTTCTCTGGTCAGCAGTTCTCAGGGTTAATCTCTCCAACTTCCCCAGAGCTTCTACGCACATCCTGGGCATGTATGTGTATTTCCAGTGGCCCAAAGTGACAGTCTGTGGTAGATAGCTTCTTCCAACTCCTTTTCCTGGAGACTTGCTTCTCCTTTGCATGGCTTGTCTTGGCTCTTCTAACAGGCTAAGGGAGGTAATCTATTCTCTTTACCCACAAGTTATAAATCATAATGTGGTTCTGTTTTAGAGGGGTGGTCTGCATGATTGGCATATTAACTGCCAGAAAGAAATCTCAGGTTCCACATTTGAACCTCTACCTCATCATCTAAGTGAAGTACTACCAAAAAAATATGATTTACATTATTGCCTTTTCTCTTTGTCACCTTCCTACCCATATTAGCAATATTTTCCTTTCTGAATCAGATTTTTTTTTCCTTTTTTCTTTTGTGTCTTGTATAGTTTCCTTTAACACAGTTCACACTACGGGTTGTTTTCTGAAAAAAAAAAATTCTTTTATTCTTCATTTCCCACACCATATAGGTTCATATTACAGAATGACCTTATATGATTTCCAAGGAGTAATAACTAGAATAATTTTGTCATTTCCACTTCACTTCTTGAGTTCACAAATGAATGCTTAGGTCAGATTCTGTCATAAAAGGCGAAGGGAGTTTCCAAGTTCCTTTATTTGTGTGAAACTTTATTTATCCATTATTGGGTAAAAGCAAGAGAGGAGGTTAGGAAATCTTCAGCTATGCAGAGCTTGCTGTTATGCTGTTATAGGATTGTTGAAGTGGCAGATATCCAATATGCCATTTTTGAATGTCATCATGATCATTTCTGATCACCAGAAAGTGATAGCATTATTACTTAACATGTAATTGAGTTTTATAGCCTTGGTCTATACACAGAGATGGCAAGAACATCTTCTTAAAATCATGTTTAATTGAGCTTAACAGATTTCTGCCTAACAGATAAATATCAGCTTTCCCTGAAGTTCTTCATTTTCGTGAAATTCAATTAGTGATGAGATTTAAGATTTTCAACAATAAATTCATAACATCCTAAGTTTAATCTGTTGAAATCTTGAAACAGACTAACTCATGCCTCCTTCCCAATTTCTCTGGATGGAGATGTAGTGAATGTCCTCTCAGAATTCTCAAACACTGAGTTATTTTTGAGTCAGAACATTTCCACTGGTTGCCCTTGGGTAGATATGCAGTATTATCACATTACCTTTGAAATCTCTCTAGACTGTGACCCACATTCTCAGTAAGGCAACTATATATGAACACCTTGTTCTCCATCAACTTTTTTTTTTTTTAATGACATCTCCCTTGAGTATCTGGTCACTTTGTAAGGTCTCCATCCATTGAGTTGAGTACATGTGATACATATGTCTGTAAATTGGATGGATATTTTCTTTGCTCAATTTAGAAGTACTAAGAACTTTATTAATATATCCCCATATATTTCAGTTGTAAAGTTCACAATATTGTCCTAGAGAATTACATTTATCAGTGTTTCTTGTATTTTTTTCTTCTTACTCTGCACCCCAGTTATACATACGTATATGTTTTATATTTTATAGTTAAAAATATATTGTCTATCTATCTCTCTAACTCACAATTCAGGCTTTGATAAAAGAAATGCTTCACTTAAATACAAGATCTTGATATTCATCATTACTCTCTGTGGATACAGATCTTGGTGTGCTTGCTTTCCTTCTTTCCCTTCCCTCCCTCCCTCCCTCCTTTCTCAATCTCACTCTCTCTCTCTTTCTTTCTTTCATTCTTTCTTTCTTTCTTTTTTATGGAGTTTTACTCTTGTTGCCCAGGCTGGAGTGCAGTCACGCTATCTTGGCTCACTGCAGCCTCAGCCTCCTGGGTTCAAGTGATTCTCCTGCATCGGTCTCCCAAGTAGCTGAGATTACAGGCATGTGTCACCACCTCTGGCAAATTTTTTGTATCTGAAGTAGAGTCGGGGTTTCGCCATGTTAGCCAGGATGGTCTCGATCTGACCTCAGGTGATAAGCCCACCTCAGCCTCTCAAAATGCTGGCATTACAGGAGTGAGCCACCGTGCCCAGCTGTATCTTTCATAATAATATTTTTCACATGGGCTGTCTGAAAAAAATCTTAAGAAGTCATTGTCTCATCGTCTTGTCCTACCATCTCCAGATGCCCAAACCAGTATTCAGAAGCGGGTTTAGCTAACAAAGGCTTCAAATGTTTTGTCTACCCCAAGATACCTTCCTTTTAATCACGAATGAAACTTAATATATTTCTGAATGGCAGGTTTCCAGATACCCTTGATGGGCTTGGGGAAATTGGGGTAGAAATATTGCCAGTGCTTTGAAAGGGACACAATGAAAGAGGCAACATAGCTTGCAACTTTAATGACTGAAATTATTCCAATTAATAATAGTACTTTCATATATTTTTTCTAATATTTACCCTATAAGGTGGGTATTGTTCACAAATAAGGAAGCTGAAGCTCCCAGTTATTATGTGACTTGTTCAGGGAGACAGGGCAGAGAAGTGGTCAAGCCAGGTCTGTCAATGCCCATGCCTACCCCCCTGTTCCTGTACAAAGACCCTGTCAGAAGGTGTTGAGGAAAGGATAAGTGAGAGCTAAAAATATCCAAGTATCAGCTACAAGTAATTTGGGATTTTTATAGGAAAAAAAGTTTGGACCAGAAAATATATCTGGAGAACCTAAAAACTCCCCTCTCAACATTTTCCTAAAATCTGAAAAAAGTGAAATAGTACAACAGAAAGAGCAGGGAATTAAAGTCAGAAAGCACTGCATCAAAGTCTGCTACTGCCTCTTATTATACTTCCTTGTACCTTGAGTAAAAATACATAGTGTTTTGTATCCATGTTCTCCCATTGAGTAAAAGAATATAATGTCAACTCCATAGGGCTACTATGAGGACTGAATGACGTAATTTATATGAAAGTCTCAAGATAAGTGTCCTGTTTATAGTGTAAACTCAATAAATGGTCTCTACCTGTCCTTTAATCCATTGTTATAATTTATTTAAAACATTTTATTTTATATTATTTTATTTTTTTGAGACAGGGTCTCACTCTGTCACTTAGGCTGGAGTGTGGTGGCATAATCACGGCACACTGTAGCCTCAAACTCCTGGGCTCAAGCCTTAGCCTTAGCCTCCCAAGTAGCTGGGACTACAGGCATGCACCACCATGCCCTGCTAATTAAAAAAAAAATTGTAGGCCAGGCACAGTGGTTCATGCCTGTAATCCCAGCACTTTGGGAGGTGGAGGCGGGCAGATCACGAGGTCAGGAGATTGAGACCATCTTGGCTAACACAGTGAAACTCCCTCTCTACTAAAAATACAAAAAATTAGCTGGGTGTGGTGGCATGTGCCTGTAGTCCCAGCTACCCAGGAGGCTAAGGCAGGAGAATCGCTTGAACCCGGGAGGTGGAGGTTGCAGTGAGCCGAGATCGCACCACTGCACTCCAGCCTAAGCATCAGAGCAAGACTCTGTCTCCAAAAAAAAAAAAAACAAAAAAATCAAAAAAAAAAAACAACCAAAGACACATTTGTAGACATAGTGTCTCATTTTGCCACCCAGGCAGGTCTCAATCTCATGGCCTCAAGAGATACTCCTATTTCAGCCTCCCAAAGCACTGGGATTTGAGGTGTTAGCCACCGCTCCTAGGCTGCAACCTTTAAATAGCTGCAAAGGAAGAGGCTTTTCAAGTCTGTAACTACATATACCTAAATGAGTGCTAGACAACAGCTGTACTACCTTGGTTAAGAGCATCAGTTCTAAGTCGTAGCTGCCAGTTCAGATCCTGGCTCCTCCCTTTACAAATTTTGTGATCGTGGCCCACTGGCTCAACACTACTGTGTGTCAATATCCTTAGGGAAAATACTGGCACTTAGGTAGTGAGATTTTCTGAGATTCAATCAAATTCATTAATAAAAGTAAAGTGCTTAGTACAGTAGCCAGAATTCAGTAAGCTCCATAAATGCTAGCTGTTATTACTAACCAAGCACATAATAGATTTAGAAGAATCATTCTCAATAGAGTTGATTTTGCTCCCAGAGGACATTGAGCAATACCTAGAGACATTTTTGGTTGTTGCAACTCAGTAGGAAGCTGCTCCTGGACTCTAGATTGTAGAGGTCAGGGATGCTGCTAAACATCCTAAAATATACAAGACAGCCTACTCCACAAGGAATAATTCAGTCCAAAATGTCAATAAAGCTGAGGCAGAGAAATACTGAGCTAGAAAAATCACCCTTAGTCAACAAAGATCTTGAGATGTTTTCTCCATAGAGCATTAGATACCACTAACCAAACATTGCTGGCAAACTAAATAACCCTATGAAACTGTACCCCATCCAATACCAAGTAAGCTAATGCTGGAGAAAGTCAAAATGATAATTGGATATATGGAAGTATAACACTCTAGTATGTCTTAGAGTTATTTAAAAATACTCCTTTGAAAGAGTAATCTTTATTTCTAATTAGAATCACTTTTCTAAAATTTATTGAATAGAATTCTGAGAGTGATAAGCAAGGATATAAAAAAGCTTTAGAGACTACAGGTCCTATCAAAATTAATGCTTGCAAATTCATCTAGATTTCTTCTCCCACAGGACCCAGCAAGAAAAAATGGTGTGCTTATAATGGATACTGGGTAGGAGAAAAAGTGGCCATGACTTTTCATGCTTCTTTATATTTTCATCGTCCTCAACCTAGCCTGGATAATTTTTGAGTGGTGGGATTATTTAAAGAAAGGTAAATGAGAAGGTCTCAAAGTATCTTTTTCCTTGCAGTCCTGATCTCTTAAATGTAGCCAGAGCTCTAGCTGAGAGGATTCCTTATCCATCCTTTCTATGAGCTTCTCTGTATCTCCTCCAGCTTGTGTTGAAGAGAGTATATTCTCCACTTGAACCAAAACCTACTAAGATCAACAGAAACACTTTCTTCATTAAAAAATAGCCTCTGAAGTCTGAAGTCCCATAAGAAACACATCATTGGCCCTGAACTTCATTACTTGAGAACTGATCATTGGTGCTCAGGGAACTGCTAAGTAACAGTGAGATCCTTTTCCTTCTTCAGTCTTGGTATGGAGGTACTGGTCAAACACAGAACAGGGTTCCGGTGATGACACATGAAAAGGTATGACTCCTTTCTTATGCTTGCAGGTGAGATTCACTACAGAGGCGCATATATATATATGTATATATATGTATATGTATATATGTGTATATATATGTATATGTATACATATATACATATATATACATATATATGCCTCTGTAGTGAATCTCTACATATATATACATATATATGTATATATGTGTATATATATATACACACACACACACACACATATGCATGCAGAATGTGCTCACTGTTGTCTACCATAATGTTAGAGGAGGACTCTGTAATACATCAATTATAGTGGGCTTATTAATGGTGCCTAAAGAAATCATTCCTGTATTAGTCCATTCTCACACTTCTATAAAGATACTACCCGAGATGGGATAATTTATAAAGAAAAGAGGTTTAATTGACTTACAGTTCCATACAGGTGGGAAGGCCTCAGGAAACTTACAATCATGGTGGAAGGAGAAGTAGACACTTTGTTCTCAAGGCAGCAGGAAAGAGTGTGCGTGTGTGAGCGCAGGAAAAACTACCATTTATAAAACCATCAAATCTCATGAGAATTCACTCACTATTACGAGAACAGCAATAGTGAGTGGGGGATATGGGGGAAACCACCCCCATAATCCAATCACTTCCCTTCCCTGACACTTGGGGATTATAGGTACCTCCCTCTACATGTAGGGATTACAATTTGAGTTGAGATTTGGGTGTGGACACTGTCAAACCATATCATTCTGCCCCTGGCCCCTCCAAATCTTGTGTCCCTTATACATTTCAAAACCAATCATGCCTTCTCAACAGTCCCCCAGTGTCTTAGCTTGTGGGAGTTCAATCAGGCTGGTGGGAAAAATTTTAAAGATAGTTGTAAGAAAAAGACACAAACCTTCTTGGAAGGCAATGGGGGTTGGCATAAGCTCTAGTAATAGATCAGGCTGAAGGCAGTGTGATCCTTACCTTGAGTTAATTACTTAGGGTGTAGAGTAGTTTATCTGAATAGCTTGTTTACTCCGGTGGTCCTAAAACCATCCTTTGATAACTGTGGGTGCATAATTGCTCTCTACTTGGAAGGTGAGCAATGTCAATTACCCTCTAGTGGTGTTTACTCAAGACCTTTGTCATTTATGCTGAATAAAAGCAAGCTTCTTTGCTGGCTGATCAGGCCATGGCTCAACTCTTTACAGCACTCTCCTTGGTGTCTGTAGGTGGCCCGGACCCTTAGCTGGACTGACAGGCAAAATATCTGTGTCTGTGTAGGTTATTCATCTGTCATTGGATCTGGGTCTGGGGACAGACCCCCACAGCTGGCGTCCCATGTGAGGAATGCTGCAAAGGATCACGACGGGTGCTCCAAAAATGAAGGTGAAAAGGACCACACAGTCAGTGAGTCAGTAAGTCAGTGGTGCCTGCTTGGCATTTCCAAGTTCGGGGAGGGGGGATTTGTTCAGGCTGAGGTTTCTTCACGGGACAACAGTTATCAGCTCAACAGAAACAGTATATAAAAGTATTGAAATCGCTGCTTAAGGCTAGTGGAGCCAGGGTTTCGCAGGCTCAATTAAGGGACCTAATGAAAACTGTTGTAACCCATAATCCATGGTTCCCAAAAGAAGGAATGCTAGATGTAGAGCTCTGGGAACAAGTGGGAAGAAATCTTAAACAACATCAGGCATAAGGTCTATGGGTCCCAGTATCATCTTTAACATATGGGCCTTAGTAAGGGCAGCTTTGGTCCCATTATACACAGAAGAGCCTAAAAAGGCGAAGGAGGAGGAACTGTCACATACTTTACCACCCCCGAGTTCCTCAGCCCCGCTACCACTGGGGAGAAATAACAAAGAGGAAACGGAGGTCTCGCCTGAGCCTCCTCCTCCAATAAATAGGAAAAAAGACAAGAGACACGCTCCAGCTGTGGGACCTTGTGTTAAGCAAGCAGCATTAGAAGGGGAGCTTTCAGCCTGCCTGGTAGTGCAAGACCGACAAGGCAATCAGGAACATGAATCCATTTCTTGTAACGCTTATAAAGAGCTAAGAAAAAGCATTAAAGAAAATGGAGCCACTAGCCCATTTACAAAAGGAATGACTGAGGACTTGGTAGACAACTTCCATATGACCCCATGGGACTGGTCAATGCTAGCTAAAACAACCGTGGAGCCTAGCCAATACCTCCTTCGGAAGGCAGAATACAATGAGTTGTGTGACCAACAAGCCAATGAGAATCAGGCAGGTGGGCAAGACATAACAGCTGCTACGCTCCAGGGGAGGGGTCCCCATGCCGATGTACAACAACAACTGACTTTGATCCCCAGGCCTATGCTCAAGTGTCTTTGTGCGCTCTCAGGGCTTGGGACCGAATTCCCAAAAGCAGAGTTCAACAGGAATCTTTTATAAAATTCAACAAGGGCCTCAGGAGCCATGTGTTGAGTTTATCAATCAGTTAACCCAGGCAATTAAGAGACAAATTAGTCATGCCCAGGCCACCGGTATCTTATTGGTGCAATTGGCTTTTGAAAATGCTAATATGGATTGCCAGCAAGCAATGCAGGCAATCAGAGGAAAGGCAGCCACAGTTGGGGAACTTCTATGAGCATGTCAGCTGGTGGGAACTGAGACACACAAAGCCAAAATATTGACTATGGCATTAAGGCCTCCTAAAGTAAAAAGGGAGATAAGTTTTCTATGCGGAGAGCCAGGTCATATGAAGAAGGAATGCCCCCATAGTAGAGACCAAAGTAACTCAGGGAAAGAACCCCCTTCTATATGCCCCCAGTGTAAAAAGGGGAAACATTAGGCAAATCAATGCAGGACAAAATTTGATAAAAACGGAAACCCTGTAAGTAACCGCATGGGAAACTTCATGAGGCCCTGCTACAAACAGGCAATGCCAGCAGCTTTCCTCTGTCAGATGGAAAGCCCACAGTCCGCTCTCTCAGAGCAGGCACCACTGGGAACGCAGGACTGGACTTACTCTGCCCCAGTGAATTAGTGCTTAAAGAAGGAGAAGACCCTAAAAGGGCTGCAACCGGGATCTGGGGCCTGCTGCTTCTGGGAACAGTGGAATTAGTCCAAGGATGGTCTAGCCTATCCGGTAAAGGAATTAATGTGCTCATCGGGGTAACTGATAATGATTACTAAGGTGAGATATTGGTGATGATGGAATGTAAAGGTCTGCATATTCTTCCTCCTGGATCAAAGAGCTCAGGTACTGATTTTACCATACTAGGTCCCCAAAGCCCACAGAAAGGAAAGGGGAAAGGGAAATTTTGGAAGCACAGGAGCCACAGGAGCATACTGGAATCAATTAATCACTGACCAGAGACCCATGATTACCTTAAAAATTGGAAATAAGAATTTTACTGGCTTATTGGACACAAGGGCAGACATTTCAATTATTAGTGATCAAAACTGGCCAGAAACTTGGCCCTGGGTCAATCAGAAACAAAAAATTATTGGCATTGGGGAAGTACACACGGCCAAGCAGAGCATGTGCCCCCTAACATGTTGCAATTCAGAAGGAAGAAAGGCAGTTATACAACCTCTAATCATGCCCATCCCTGTTAATCTTTGGGGAGGGGACCTATTAGCTCAACTGGGCGTCATTCTGCAGACCCCTTTCTAACAAAGGCCACTGTTATTATTCCTCCCCTACCCTGATGTGGCTCTTTCAAGATCCTGTTTGGCTAGAACAGTGGCCTCAGAAGGGAGAGAAATTACAGAGGGCCCATGAATTAGTTGAAGAGGAATTAAAAGCTGGGCATGTGGAACCATTTAATAGTCCTTGGAATTCACCCATTTTCCTCATTCCCAAAAAGTCTGGGAAATGGAGATTTTTGCATGACTTATGTGCTATTAATGTCAATTTGCAACCCATGGGACCCTTTCAGCTGGGGCTCCTTTCCCCCATGGTGATTCCTCAAGATTGGCCTATAAACGTTACTGACTTAAAGGAATATATATATAAAAAATACTTTAAGTTCTAGGGTACATGTGTACAACATGCAGGTTTGATACATAGGTATACATAGGTATACATGTGCCATGTTGGTTTGCTGCACCCATCAACTCATCATTCACATTAGGTATTTGTTCTAATGCTATCCCTCCTCCAGTCTCCCATCCCCCAAGAGGCCCTGGTGTGTGATGCTCCTTGCTCTGTGTCCAAGTGATCTCATTGTTCAATTCCCACCTATGAGTGAGAACATACAGTGTTTGGTTTTCTGTCCTTAAAGGACTGTTTTTATATGATTTCCCCAGCAGAACAAGACAGAGAAAAAATTGCATTTACAATACCAGGTATCAATAATGAAATGCCAGCTTGTCAATTTCATTGGGAAAGTGCTTCCTCAAGGAATGCTAAATAGTCCTACCATGTGTCAGTATCATGTAAATCAAGCTTTGCTACCCAGTAGAAAAAAATTTCCTGATTGCAAGGTTATTCATTTTATGGATGATATTCTACTGGCAGCCCCAATGGATCCAATGCTTTTAGATTTATTTACCTCTGTCATAAAGGATACACAGCTAAAAGGTTTAATCATTGCACCTGAGAAAGTATAGATGTCTTTTCCTTGGAAATATTGTGGGTACATACTAACTTCCCAGTCAGTAAGACCTGAAAAGGTTAAATTAAATATTAGCAACTTACACACCTTAAATGATGATCAGAAATTACTAGATGATATCAACTAGCTCCGCCCCACTCTGGGTATATCTGTGGATAAGCTGCAAAACCTGTTTTCTATCTTAAAGGGCAATACAGCCCTAGATTTTCCCAGATATTTAACCCCTGAAGCAAAAAAGGAAATAGAACAAACCATCTCTCAGAGGCAGCTAGATCGCATAGATCCAGTCTACTCAATTCAACTGTTTATGTTTCCCATCAAACACTCCCCTAAAGGGTTAACTGCAGACCCCAGGATTGTGCTTTCTAGAATTTTTTTTTTTTTTTTCTCACATACCAGGACTAAAACACTATTTCCCTATATCCAGTTACTTAGTAAAGTCATCTATTCAGGCTGCAAATAATGCAGTCAGTTGCTAGGTTATGATCCTGATATCATCAGGATTCCTTTAAGTAAAAAGCAGTTAGAAGCAGTATTGCCCTTATCGATGCAAATAGCACTCTCCAATTACACAGGACAAATAGAGCATGTCCTTCCTGCTGATAAACTCCTTCATTTCTTATCTCATACTCCTGTGATCTTGCCTACACAAATAGTTCACTCCTCCATACCTAATGCTTTAACACTGTTTACTGACGGATCTGGTAAGTATGGAAAGGCAGCAGTCTGGTGGAGATGACATAATTCATTCACTTGATCTGGATTTACTAGCACTCAAAGAGCTGAGATTGGAGCCCTGGTATTGGCCTTGGAAACTTTTTCCACTCAGTCCATCAATATTGTTAGCAATTCTGCCTATTATGTTTATTTATTGCAGAACCTTGAAACAGCCCTAATTAATGTCACTCTGGAGCCCACCCTATGTGCTCTTTTTCTTTGACTTCAGCAATTGCTAGATTAATGTATACATCCTATTTTTATCACACATATTTGAGCCCACAGTTCACTGCCTGGCCTATTGGCTTATGGCAATGATCAAGCAGACCTTCAGGTTATGATATCACTGCTTGACCAAGCCACCCAATCGCATCAATTTTTCCACCAAAAGTGGAGACACTGACGAGTTGATGGGTGCTGACGAGTTGATGGGTGCTGACGAGTTGATGGGTGCAGCACAGCAACATGGCACAAGTATACATATGTAACAAATCTAAACAATTTCAACTTACCCAGAGACTAGCTAAACAAATTATCCTGCAATGCCCAGATTGCCAGCTCACAGGCACATCCCCACCTTCAACAGCTATTAATCTTAGAGGACTGGAACCCAATCAGTTATGGTAAACAGATGTTACACACATCCTTGAATTTGGAAAACTTAGATACATACGTGTATCCATTGATCCCAATTCTCACTTAATTAGTGCCCATGCTTTGCCTGAAGAGTCCACCCAACATGTCATTAAATATCTTCTTTTAACTTTTGCATTTATGGGAGAGCCCACAAAAATTAAAACTGATAATGGTCCAGTTTATGCCAGCTCACAATTTCAACAATGTTGTCACATGTGGAATATCCAATATTCCACAGGCATCCCATATAACCCCCAAGGACAGGACATAGTAGACCGTGCCCACTCCACCCTTAAAAATATGCTCAAAAAACAGAAAAGGGGGAGTATGGGTAAAGACCCTGCAACACTACTAGCACAAGCCTTATTTACCCTTAATTTTAAAAATTTAGATGACAAATTTCAATCAGCCATAGAAAAGCACTTTGCTAAAACCTCTCAAGACATAAAACCTGCAGTTTTATGGAAAGATATAAACAGTAACATATGGTGTGGTCCAAATGAATTATTAACTTGGGGAAGAGGGTATGCTTCTGTCCGCACCCCCTCAGGTCCTCTTCAGATTCCAGCCCTATGCATCAAACCATACCATGGCATGGCCAGGACCCAACCTGGTACCAGAAATGAAGGAACTGACCTTACAGGACCCACAGCCCCAGACGATGTGGCTTCCGTGGAAGACACAAGCCCCGGACATCACCTGGGGTATGCTGAAGAGGACAACTCAGGAACAAATTCTGCTCCAGACACAGACACCATTCACTTCAGATAATTTGTTTCTTGCTATGTTCTCTGTTGTACATTGCAATTCACATAGAGTATTGATCCTTTTTAGGCCCCCACTTTGTCTGTAACCTGTACCTGCTACACTCTATTGGGCTCATATCTTAGATCCGCCTTTCTTAGTCCTGTCACCTAGGCTTTAATAACTCGACTGCTTGGCTAGGAGGGATAGATTTACCCCACTGTGGGATCCCTCACTAATGGCACACATTGGACCAAGATGCCAGATAACACTATGTATCACTCTGATATCCTCCCGCTATGTGTAAGTTATAAAGGTTCTAACCCTTACTGTGTACCTGCAACACAATTATGGCTACATCATGGCAAAAGAAATGCCTTAACAGTCTCAGCTGCAGGTAGCCTTAAACCGGGTAATGTAATCAGTGTTGCTTTCCCAAACATTCCTTCCTGTGCTCAAGAACAAAGCCAGGAAAGTAATGGATTCCACTTTAGCTGGGAGGTCTGTCACGGGGGAGAAGCCCGTAGCCTCCAGTTAGGCAATGGTAACATCTTAGACTGGAGCCCTCATGGCCATTTGCAGGGCAGCCTTACTGATGTCCACATCCATCATGGCATCAATCACAGTTTCATAGCCTTGTCCCATTCTCTTATGATTTGGGCCAATGGGGGGACGGGATATTCCAGACCCCAAGTAAAGTCCATGCCACCCCAAGACACTTTATGGTGCCTGGGACATCTTAGTACCTCCTTTGACACTTGGCATGGGACATATCATAATTCCAGTAACAACTATACTAATACCTTTATTCATAATCATACTGATCAGTGCCTTATTTGCATTACCCATCCATATGTTTTCCTTATGGGAACTAATATTTCCACTACACCCCAAAACTCCGCGTTTGTGACCCAGGTGCAGGGACAGGCTTGGTTTGCCTCATGTATCACTAATTACAATATATCTAATTCAAATATTACTAGTGTCATGGTATTAAGGAGACAATCTGAGGCATTCCTATCAGTCAATTTGACATGTGATTGGCAAGGTTCCTCTGCCCTTGCCACCTTAGAACGTACCCTCTCCCAGGTCAGACCCAAAAGATTCATAGGCACACTTATAGCCTTTATAGTCTCGGCCACAGTCATCCTAGCAACTGCTTGTATGGCTGTAGCATCTATTACTGAATCAGTAAAAATGTTGTTTCTGTACATAGTTTGCCCAAAAATGTGTCTAATGAACTTCTCTTACAGCAGGGTACAGATCAAGATTCTTGGCTGGACGTGGTGGCTCACGCCTGTAATCCCAGCACTTTGGGAGGTCAAGGCGGGCGGATCACAAGGTCAGAAGATCGAGACCATCCTGGCTAACACAGTGAAACCCCGTCTCTATTAAAAAAAAATACAAAAAAATGAGTTGGGCATGGTGGCAGGCACCTGTAGTCCCAGCTACTCTGGAGGCTGAGGCAGGAGAATGGTGTGAACCCACGAGAGTGAGTCAAGATTGTGCCACTGCACTCCAGCCTTGGCAATGAGTGAGACTCCGTCTCAAAAAAAAAAAAAGAAAAAAAAAAGATTCTTGCACGTCTGCAAGCCCTCGAGGCTGTCTTGGAATATGTGGGGGAGTGACAAGATGCACTGGCATTCTGTCAACAATTAAACTGCGACTGGGAGCATAAACATATCTATCTGTGTCACTTTTCTACCATGGAATCAATCAATACATAGTTGAGATGAGGTGAAACAATACCTCTGGGGAACCTTTCATGACAATTTAACAGCAGATGTAAAGCAACTTAAAACTAAAATTTTAGAATTCCTTCACACAATACATCTACACACCCAACAAACAGCCATATGGAAGGGTATGCCAGATCATCTCTCCTGGTTAGATCCCTGCTCCTAGGGGTTACTCTTTGACTGGAAAAGAATGTTGCTAATTATACTCATGATTGTCTTATGTTATTTGCTAATACTAGGATGCAAAGCTGGAATAAGAGTAATGACCACCTCGCTAGACAGACTTGTTGCTGCACACATCTGTACTCTTCAGTCAACTGAACCCGATGTAAAGAACAGAAAAGGGAGAGATGTGGGATTTCAGACAGACTGGTGGTGTATCTGGAATTTATTCCTTCTGGTGGTTTGTTGGTCTTGCTGACTTCAAGAATGAAGCCGCAGACCTTGGTGGAGTGTTACAGCTCTTAAAGGTGGTGTGGACCCAAAGAGCGAGCAGCAGCAAGATTTATCGTGAAGAGCAAAAGAACAAAGTTTCCACAGTGTGGACGGGGACCCAATTGGGCTGCCACTGCTGGCGGGGGTGGCCGGTTTTTATTCCCTTATTTGTCCCCGCCCACATCCTGCTTATTGGTGCATTTTACAGAGTGCTGATTGGTGCATTTACAATCCTTTAGCTAGACACAGCGCACTGATTGGTGCATTTTTACGGAGTGCTGATTGTGCATTTACAATCCTTTAGCTAGACACTGAGTGCTGATTGGTACGTTTTTACAGAATGCTGATTGGATAGGCAGAAAAGTTCTCCAAGTCCCCACCCAACCCAGGAAGTCCAGCTGGCTTCACCTCTCAGTGGGAAAAATTTTAAAGATAGTTATAAGAAAAAGACGCAAACCTTCTTGGAAGGCTGGTTGGGGGCTGGTTTCCATAAACTCCAGTAATAGATGAGGTTGAAGGCAGCCTAATCCTTACCTTGAGTTAATAGTTTAGGGCACAGATACAAAGGAATGTAGAGTAGTTTATCTAAATAGCTTGTATACTCATGTGGTCCTAAAACCAACCTTTGATCAACCATGGGTGCATAATTGCTCTCTACTCAGGAGGTGGGCAGTGTCAATTACTCTCTAGTAGTGTGTACTTAAGACCTTTGTCATTTAATCTATACTGAATAAATGTGAGCTTTGCTGGCTGATTGGGGCCACAGCTGCAACTCTACAGCAACCTCCTTGGTGTCTGTAGGTGGCCCGGATCCTCAGATGGACTGATAGGCAAAATATCTGTGTCAGTGTATGTTATTCATCCATTGTTGGGTCAGGGTCTCTGAGACAGACCCCCACATTAACTCATTCAGTATTAACTCAAAGGTCCAAGTCCAAAGTCTCATCTGAGACAAGGCAAATCCCTTTCACCTATGAGTCTGTAAAATCAAATACAAGTTAGTTACTTCCAAGATACAGTGGAGGTACAGGCATTGGAAAATGCTCCCATTCCAAATGGGAGAAATTAGCCAAAAACAAAGGAGCTACAGGCCACACACAAGTCTGAAATCCAGTGGGGGACAGTCATTACATCTTAAAGCTCCTAAAAAATCTCTTTTGACTCCATGTCTCACATCCAGGGTATGCTGATACAAGTGGTAGGCTCCCACAGTCTTGGGCAGCTCTGCTCCTGTGGAATAATCAGGCCCCCTCCCAGTTACTTTGATGGGCTGGCATTGAGTGTCTGTGGCTTATCCAGGCACACAGTGCAAGCTGTCAGTGGATCTACCATTCTGGGGCCTGAGGGACTGTGGCCTTCTTCTCACAGCTCCACTAAGCAGTGCCCCAGTGGGGACTCTGTGTGCGTGCTCCAACCCCACATTTCCCTTTCCACACTGCCCTAGCAGAGGTTCACCATGAGGGCTCAAACCCTGCAGCAAACTTCTGCCTGGACTTCTGTAGCAGGTGTTTCCATACATCCTCTGAAATCTAGGCAGAAGTTCCAAAACTTCAATTCTTGACTTCTGTGCACCTGCAGGCCCAACACCATGTGGAAGCTGCCAAGGCTGGGGATGGCACTCTCTGAAGCAACAGCCTGAGCTGTACATTATCCCTTTTTAGCCATGGCTGGATGCAGGGCACCAAGTCCCAAGACTGTACAAAGTAGCAAGGTCCTGGGCCCAGCCCATGAAACCATTTTTCCCACTAGGACTCCAGGCCTGTGATGGGAGGGGCTGCTGCGAAGTCTCTGACATGCCCTGGAGACATTTTCCCCATTATCTTGGCAATTAACATTTGGCTCCTAGTTACTTATGCAAATTACTACAGCAGGCTTGAATTTCTCCCCAGAAAATGGGTTTTTCTTTTCTATCTCATTGGCAGGCTGCAAATTTTCCAAACTATTATGCTCTGCTTCCCTTTTAAACATAAGTTCCAATTTCAGATCATCTCTCTCAAGTTCAAAGTTCCACAGATCTCTAGGGCAGGGGCGAAATCCTGCCAATCTCTTTGCCAAAGCATGGCAAGAGTGACCTTTGCTCCAGTTCCCAATAAGTTCCTCATCTCCATCTGAGACCACCTCAGCCTGGACTTCATTGTCCATATTACTATCAGCATTTTTGTCAAAACTATTCAACAAGTCTCTAGGAAGTTCCAAACTTTCCCACATCTTCCTGTCTTCTTCTGAGCCCTCCAAACTGTTCCAACCTCTGCCTGCTACCCAATTCCAAAGCCGCTTCCACATTTTCAAGTACCTTTATAGTAGTCCCCTATTCCTAGTACTAACTTACTGTATTAGCCTGCTCTTACACTTCTATAAAGATACTACCCAAGACTGGGTAATTTATAAAGAAAATATTTGATTCACAGTTCCGCATGGCTGGGGAGGCCTCAAGAAACTTACAATCATGGCAGAAGGAGAAGCAAACACCTTCTTCGCAAGGTGGCAGGACAAAGTGTGCGTGAGCACCAAAAAAAACCTGCCATTTATAAAACCATCAGATCTTGTGAGAATTCACACACCATCATGAGAACAACATGGGGGATACTGCTTCTATAATCCAATCACTTCCCTTTCCTGACATGTGTGGATTACAATTTGAGATGAAATTCGGGTGGGGACACAGAGCCATACCATATCAATTCTCTAATCCTTGGAATTTGTAAATGTTACCTTATTTGAAAAAAGGATCTTTGTAGGTATGATTAAGTTAAGGATCTTGAAATTTAGGGCATTGTCTTGGATTATCTGTCTGGACCCTAAATAGCATCATTAATGTCCTTGTAAGAGGGAGATCTGACACACAGAGAAGAGTAGAAGGCCATGTGACCAGAGATACAGAGATTGGAGTAATGCAGCCACAAACTGAAGCTGGAAGCCATCAGAACTCGGAAGAGGCAAGAGATCGATTCTTCTATGGAGGTGATACCTTCATTTCTGATTGGTGAAACTGATTTTGGACTTCTGGCCTCCAGAACTGTGACAGAATACATTTCTGTTGTTTTAACTCATCTAGTTTGTAATTTGCTTCAGAGGCCACAGGATGACTAACACAGTATACTGCTTATGACTGTGGATTCTCTTCTCACAGGCCTACATCACCCTAACCTGAAAAGGGAAAGAAGGATGTGAAGAAAATAATATAGGAGGAGGAAGAAAGAAGAAACAGACGGCAAGAAAAAGAAGAGACTAGGAAGAGTAGATGAAGCAAGATAAAGTGGAGGAGAAATCTCTTTACTGAATGGTAGGTCATATACAAATTATACTGGGGAAAAGTGAAATTTGGCCCCTACATTCCACATCTACCTACATGGTGAACATTGCGGGTATGCCTAGGTCCTAAGAGGAATTTGTCTTTAAAAATCTTCATGAATCATTTAACAGTTTTAATGGTAACTGTGATGAGAAAAATTTCAGTAAGCTACATTAAAACTGTTAAATGATTTATTTAATTAAGGGGTCAAAACAGTGACCCCTTAGTCATCAAGCACTTAGGGTTGATTTGGCAATGCTACACATCCTTCAAGATTCTGTTCATAATCTACTTCCTCTATAAAATCTTCTTTGACCTCTACTTTTTCCATTTTCTGAATTTGCATTCCATGCACAGGAACTATGTCTGTTATTTCTGCTCTTCCAATAATAACAACAAAAAGCCCACGGATGCTGCTAAATATCTTAAAATGTACAAGCAAATACTTATGATAGTTTTATATCTCCTCCAGCAGTCTGCATAGGGCAGGACTATAATAGAGTCCTTGTGGTGACTGACGGACTAACCACTATTCTGAGACCAATAATACAGATGGTCTCATCTGTTTCATCTCGTACCTTCTACCTACATATCACACTGTACAATGATGATTGGTATTGAGAATTATATCCCTCAGGCATGTCAGGTCTAAATCATAAAAAAATAGATTGATAAAATTCATTGTCTTGCTAGTTGAGAAAAACTACTCATATATTTTAGGAAGATTTCCAACTGGAAGAATTGAAGCCAGGATGCATTTCTCATCACCCTAATTTAATGCAATTAACTGCAACCCTCAAGTCCCAAGTATTCAAAGCATCAGAAGAATTGCTTTATTAACCAAAGATTCAAAGGGTTAGCCTATAAATATACCTGAAGGTACCTACTTTCTGGTATTGATTTCCCACTGTGTGGCAAGTCTTAGCGTAAACGTGGTATAAAACAAGCTTATTTTTTAGTTAATTATACGTTACCGGCTTCAAATTGCTCAGAGGAAAGTCAGGATTCGTGGGCTTGTTTATATTTTTTACATTGCTCATTTACATCCAGTATAACTGAAACTGAAGTTCAGTTCTGTAAACTATCCCACAGTATGTACTCAGATAACTGCCCACATGCAAAACATTAGGTACACACAGGGCTAAAGAATTTAGTCAAGAGGCTGGGCACGGTGGCTCATGCCTGAATCCCAGCAAGTGGATTACTTGAGGTCAGGAGTTCAAGACCGGCCTGGCTAACATGGTGAAAACCCATCTCTACTAAAAATACAAAAATTAGGCAGGTGTGGTGGCACGCGCCTGTAATTCCAGCTACTCGGGAGGCTGAGATGGGAGAATCGCTTGAACTCAGGAGGTGGAGGTTGCCGTGAGCCCAGATGGTGCCACTGCACTCCAGCCTGGGTGACAGAGTGAGACTCTGTCTCAAAAAAAAAAAAAAAAAAAAATTAATCAAGGACATACAACTGTTTGTAATCCTTCATGATTTTACATTTAATGTTTATTATTATTATTATTATTTTTAAGCATAAGAAAACCAAAGGCACGTTGTTGGCATTCCTATCACATCAAAACAATGAATATAAATCACATCATACAAGTAAGAATCAGAAATATAGAGAACGGGAATAAATTAAACAAGGAACTCATTAACATACCTCCAAACAGAAAACTAGGACCTAAAATAATGTAAACCTTAGTGAAACAACAGCTGCTCTTATGAAAATCCATATA